AGTCTTACTTGGTTTACACCTTCTCCAAGAGCTCCCATCCAAGCTAAGAGGAGGATTTTGGTGCATGTTCCTGGTTTTCAGTGATGATAGAACCATTAGAATGGGTTGGGTTGGGAGGGACCTTCAAAGGTCCTCCAGTCCAACCCCCCTGCAATGAGCAGGGACATCTTCAGCTACATCAGGTTGCCAGAGCCACGTCCATGGCTTTGAATGTCTCTCCATGGCCAAGAACCGAGACTTAAGCAGATGGAGATCACTGTCTGCCTCAGGCGAGTCATTGGGAAAGCTCTGTTTTATTTTCCTTCCCTAACCTCAGGCCAGTCATTTTCAAAGGGTTTTTTTTGTTGTTGCTCTGGTTTAAAGGATGATGCTGTGGCCTTACTGTAATGAAACTGCTGCTGCTGCTCTGGGGTTAAGATTATAGCATGTTTAGAGCATGGGGTGAAGAGGGCGATGTGTTTCATATGAGCAGTGCCTGTGTCATCATTTGTAAATGTATATCTGTATGCAGTCCTTGCCTTGCTGCCTGGAGGATGGCAGAATCTTACTCCCTGTTACTCAGCAGTCGTGTTAGTGCCTTTGAAGTATTCCTTTTGTGGCTGTAAGCTCCTGTTGGGTTATTCCTTGTATGTTCTGCAGTGTAAGACAGCAGTCCCCGTGTTGCGGCTTCACCTCTGTGTCCCTCTGCGACCTGCTGCTCTTGCAGGATCATTTTACTAAGGAGATGATTGATGCTGAATTGTTTCAATTACAGCGTGCTGGGAGAGCAGGGGATTTCATGCACGTGGTGAGAGTTGTAAAGCCTGTTTCAAGTTCATTAGGTGCCTGTCAGCCTGCCATTCAGAAACAGGCTTTCCTGTGGGAGCAGGAATGGATGCTCAGATTTCAAATACACGTGGTGGGTCTTCTTATTTCTCTGTACCAGGGATGGGGCAGCCACAGCTTCTCTGGGCACCCTGTGCCAGCGCCTCAGCACCCTCACAGGGAAGAGCTTCTGCCTAAGAGCTCATCTCAATCTCCCCTCTGGCAGGTTAAAACACAGTTCCCATGTGTGGTTTTAGTGTTCCAATCTGTAATTGGAATCAGGGTGAGCAAGGAAGTATTCATTTTTAGGGGAGAAAAGCTTCAGTGGTTTCCATTAAAATCCCTTTTCTTTGCTGATTGCAATTAGTTGATAGTAAAATGATAATTAATGCTGAGAGACATGAATTTCTTCTGTGGAATAAGTCTATTAAGGATTCGGCACATGAATACACTGAACTTTCTCGTCTGCCTTCCGCCTTGCGGTCCGTCTGTGTGTTCCCTTCATCTTGTGATAGTTGGTCTCTGGTGTGATTTCAGTCGTGCTGAAGTTACAGCATTCCCATTATTTTCACCTTATTTCACCTCCCTGGTGCCCATATTTCATTTTCTTCTTGTCATAAATAAGGGCCTGACAGTGGAATGGGTATCCCACTGCAAGCTGTGGATGCTGTCTTCTAAGCCAGTCAAGTGAGCAGACATCACCTTGGTGTAGCTGTCCATGCCTTTGGCTTGGCTCTGCCCAGCTCTATCGGCTGAAATGGGAGCAAGCACTAATGTGTGCCAAGGAAAATGTGTTCATCCATTCCAATATCTCGGAAATGTCTTGCAGCTTAAGGAAAAGCCACATTGCGTGTTCCATACCCGTGAGGAGCAGTGCAAGTGAGCATCCATCCGTGGCCGCAAGGTGAGACCTGGCAGCCCAAAAGCATCGCGGCGCTGAGCGTATGCTCTCATTCAGAAACGAAGTTGCATTCATGCAAGCTCCCTCGAAGTTTTACTGATTTATAGTTTCCCTAAAGCTATAATAACACACCAGAGGTCCTGAGATCGTGCAGGACATTTTGGTAAACCGAAGCTTAGATAAAGGCACCTCTGGCCCCAGCTAAGAACACTTCCTGGGGAAACCCAAAGCAATGGATTTTATCAGGCTTGCTTTCTGTTTTGACTGAATTTCTAAGCCATTTTCCAGTGTGACTTGAAATAGAAAAAGGCTGAAGGGTCATGCTGGAATAACATACAGAACCCAGGACCCAGACAGCTGTAAAAGTCACCCTCATGGCAGGGTTAAACCCTCTTGGGGGATGCTGGCAGTTTCCAGCTATTTAATCCATGGTGTTTTCTTACTCTTGGGTCAAACTGAAGTGACTTTTGCCGTATACTTCAGTCTCGTTTTCTGGGCTTGATCTGGTAAGGTTCATGAGAGCATCCACGTGATTTCCCTCAGGAAATAAGCATTTGAACCAGAAAAGAAAGGTCTACCCCTGCCTTTAAATAAATAAATCCGAGGTGCTACAGAGAAAACAAGGAGCGTGGGACAGGCAAGTTCTGCATGCAGGGATTCAGTAGGAACCTCCCTGGCTTGAAGGGGCATTGATAGACACAAAGGACTCCTGTCTGCTCAGCTGCAGGCAGATGCAGCTGGAAACACAGTCTTCCTTATATCTAACCTGAACTTCCCTGCTTCAGTTTAAACCCATCACTCCTTGTCCTATAGCCACAGTCCCTGATGAAGTGTATCATGATGAAGAGTAATACATCTTATTTCTCCTGCAACTGTGATCTCTACTAACATACCATATACATAAGAGCCTGAACTCGAGGGCTGGGATTGCAGGCATCGGGCTGACTGAATGCAACAGGGGTTCTGGTCACCCGGGTTGTGCAGCACCCCGCTTCTGGAGGTTGCTGCTGCTGCTGCTTCCGCAGGGACAGCTCAGGAATAGCTCAGCTGGTTGCTTAGCAGCAATTGGAAGGTACAGGAACGGGTCAGGGCTACCTCTGCACCACGCTCAGGCTGTGCTGGCTCAGTGCTTGCTCCACGAGTTGTGGTGAAGAAGCTCCCAGGGAGATGCTGGGGCCAGAAGCACCGCTGCTGTCGGGAGGTAAGCTGTCCCTGCTCACCGAGCAGCTGCCTTGCTAGCTACTAGTGGCCTTGTCACCATGATGGTGTAGCATGGCTTTCATCCAGAGGCAAGGAGAACACTGTATAGAGTCTGTTCTCTGCAGCGCATCCTGCTCGTTCCATGCCATGGACCGGTTGTTTGCTAACCCCAGCTATTCCCACCTTGTAAATATAACTCAAATGTCTTGATTGTAGGTAAAAAGAGACTGCAAATCTACAGTCCAACACTTGAAAATATAGAATCAGAAAGGTTTGGGTTGGAAAGGACCTTAAGATCATCCAGTTCCAACCCCCTGCCACGGGGGGATTGGAATCTGTCATTGATTTAATGACAGATTTATGATCATTTGACAAATCTGCTTGTGTTTTATGTGGGGAACGCGTGAGATTGTGTTGAAATATCCCCTGAAGTGCAGCAGGCAGAAGGAAATGAAGGACTGCAGCGATTTCTCTGTTGTTTCTTCTGTTGGTGACTAAACCTTGCTTTAGGTGACTTACCTAGGGAGCAAGAACCACAGAGCTGCAAAAGGTGGAGAGGTTGGAAAGGCTGTCACCTTTCTGCAGATAGACTTGCACACCTGGTCTTGGTTTTCTCCTTTAGGTGAAAAGTAAAATGACATACTGGAAATTACAAAGCATTTATGTCCTGTGTAGATACCCTCTTTGCTGGGTTGTGAAACAGGGGTGATTCCGTGTTTCTGGGCACAGTACACAGTCTGGAGTTGTCTTAAATAGTTGATATGCTGAAGTATAGGGTTTGCATTTACAGCTGCCTTGCAAGCTTTGGATATTGATATAAAAATGATGCTTAGAAGCCTCCTGGCAAATGAATCGAGCAGAATGGTGAATGCGAGGTAATGCTTTGTGTATATCAGGTGAAGAGGGCATCCAGTGGAGGTTGAGAGCCACGTCCCACACATCTGGTTCAGACTTTACAGCTCCTTTCCCTAGTGAAGTGTCCCCTCTTATACCATGCATTGCCCTCCTGTTTGTGCTGGTTGCCAGGCTTTTAATCCTTGCCCTGCCTTACAGTGGCCGTGTATCCTGGAGCAGTCTAATTCCTTCCTCCTGCATCTTCTTCTGAGTCCTTGCCAGAGCACCCGGACTTGGACAGCATGGCTGACATCTCTTGCAGGCTCTGTTGGTTTTCCCCTCCTTTCCCAAGGGAGAACAGCTGCCTGTGGAGTGAGGCAAGAGTCTGCAGTGCTGATGGAGGTTCTCTTCTTGTTAAATCACGGAATCCCAGCCTGGTTTGTGTTGGAAGGGACCTTAAAGCTCATCCAGCTCCAACCCCTGCCATGGGCAAGGACCCCTTCCACTGGAGCAGCTTGCTCCAAGCCCCTGTGTCCAACCTGGCCTTGAACATTGCCAGGGATGGGGCAGCCACAGCTTCTCTGGGCCCCCTGTGCCAGCGCCTCAGCACCCTCACAGGGAAGAATAAATAACAGCCACACTGTTGAGTTGGGGAAAGAAAGACTGAAGCAAGCACTTTGCACTTGAAAGAGAAGGTGCGGGAGCTTTGTGGAGGTCCACGGTCACTGGGTGGTACACAGCATCCACATCTGTACCACACAACCAGCCTCACTTAGGGGGCTGAGAGGATGAATGGCTGTTCATAAAGTGCTTTGACCTGTAAACCGCTGCGTTATCACAACAGTCTTTTATTGATCATAATAGGCCATGCAGCATTTAGAAGTGGTCATTGAGATAGTAAAAGCTTCGCAAAGCAAATTATGCTGCCCTGGGCTCTTCCTTGTCCCCTGAAGCAGCGTGTGTCTTGTCAGTATTTTAAGTGGAGCAGTGATGTGCACTCAGGAGTAATTCATCAGAGATTGGTTGGAGGAATTCCTTCCCCAGAGGCTGCCCAGGGCAGGGCTGCACTCACCGTCCCTGCAAGCGTTCACATACCCTCAGTGCCGTGGGTTAGTGGTGGCCTTGGCAGCGCTGGGGAACGGTTGGATTTGATGACCTTAAAGGGCTTTTCCACCCTGGATGATCCTGTGATTCTCCACACACCTCCGTTTTCTCCATCTAGGAGCCTCTAACAGGGGGATTCTCTCTTGTCTTTCTGCAGGGGAGGAGCTGGATCGTGAAGCGCAGTTATGAAGATTTCCGAGTCCTGGACAAGCACCTTCACCTGTGTATTTATGACCGGCGCTTCTCCCAGCTCTCCGAGCTACCCCGCTCTGATGCCCTGAAGGACAACCCAGAGGTGAATTCCCTAAAGCACAGTCGCCAGCAAGGGCTTGGAAGAGAGAGCTCCAAACTGCTTTCTCATGTACAAAGTAGTTTTAATGCGGCCCTGGTTAGGTTTGGACATGGCTTGCGAGTAAGAAGATGTAAGAAGTATGTGTTTTCCACCCTGGGCTAAAGGGAAATGCCCTGCAAGTTCATAAGGATTAATGTGCTGCTAAACACGGAATGGTTATTGAGAGTGTCAAGAAAGAAGCTGTCCAGTCCGTACCTTAGCTAAGAATGTAGTTACATCTTTGGAAACATCTTCAATGATGTCCATGAGTTAGCAGCTTGGCATTGCCAGGAAGTCGTGCTGTGCCAGGGCTGTGGCACTGCAAGAGGACTGCCATTTGCAGTGCTAGACTCACATCTATGGACTGAAAACGACTGAAGCATTTGCATTAGTGCCTTATTTAAATGTTCTTTTAAAAGCTTAAAAAGTGGGGGTTTTCCCTAAATGAATAAGAGGCATTTTCATTGTGAGCTGGAATTCCTTTGGCTTCGTAAGCCTGTTGATAACTCAGAGATTCACTCATGTCCATAACAATCTTCTGGGAAGTCACAGGTGCATCTTGACTGCATCACGTCAGAAGATGTGGAGAGGGAGGCAATGTAATGCATGGCCCCAGAGGTTACTTGAGCCAGTGGAGCAGGACAAAACCATTCTGCCTGTCTGTCTGCAGGAGGAGGCTGTTACCCAGTGATGGACAGTGCCCCTTGCTTCATTTCACAGGTCACTTAGCTCAGGGACCTGTGCTTGTGTGTTTGCCCCCTGCCATCAAACACAAGTATGGGACAATCCTGACATGCTGTGCGGGAAGGCTGATGTTGCCTGCCCACAAGGTGCATGGCAGAAAAGGGAAGTGGGGAAATTGAAGCCATTCAAAGAAGAATCCATCCAGGACGTGTAAATCAGAACGTGTGCTCTTTCAGCACGGAGCTGCTGAGGGTTGGTTGCTTTTGAGCAACAGGCAGTGGCTGAAATCAGTACCCACTAGAGTCTGCAGGGCCACTGCATATGGGAAGTTGGTAACGTGGTCCCATTGCTCATCAGGACAGCTGATTTATTAGTTGCTTTGGCTTAACGCAGGCTGTTCCTGTGGAGAATTTGGTTTCTAATCTTTCAAATTCAACAGAAGCAGCACTGTTCAGGGGAATGAATTCCTGGGTTTATTGTTTTAAGTTCTATTTTAGGCATTCCTATCTCTTACATCTTTATTTGTACAACTGATTTAATACGCGCTTTCTAGCGTGAGCCTGAAAATTTCTCTCTAAGCACAGAAGAGGTAACGGTACTGAGCAGCTCTGCTGCTCTGGAATGGAATTCTGCAGCTGGGGGGCATCTTGCACTCTGTTTTTCACTCTGAACGGACCACGTTTGAACAGATGTTTGAAGAAAGCAGTGATTTAAACACCCCTACCAACTCTGAGCTGCTTGGTAGAAGTGCTTTATAACACTGGGAAGCTTTGGGAAGTCCTCCCCAGCTTCTCTTTAATAAAAGCAAGTTTACTGTTACAGAAAGGACATTGCCCAAGTGTATTTTAAACCCTCTCTTCTACTGTTTGAGATATTCCCTCTTTCACCAAGGGGTCAGGCTGAGTTGCCACGTTTCTAAGGGTTTGCAAGTGGGTGGACATAGTGGGGTTTGCTGCGCTAAATGGTTCCAAGTTGTGTTTGATGTCTATAATATATGATTTGTTTGGTATGAAATTCATGATGAGAAGACGGCTTTAGGTTTCAGGTGTCTTGACAAGGGAGATTAATGAAATCTGCATCTCTTAGGGAAATAACTATTACTTTCACAGGGAGCTGCTGCTTTACCCCGTTTTTCTGGTGTGTAATCATTGTAGTGTGCTGTCCTCCTTCCTTGCAAAAGGGAATATATCTCTTTTATTACAATGGATAATTTATGGTCTCTTAAGTCTGAAGAAGTCTCTCCAAACTGGTGCATTAACAGAAAAACTCTGTCTCTCTTTCTTTCCATCCCAGCTTGTCACCCAGATGCTGATGGCTTACCTGTCACGTCTCTCTGCCATCGCAGGCAACAAGATAAACTGTGGGCCTGCTCTCACATGGATGGAGGTATGGGATGAAGCTTAGGTTGTTCTTTGCTTCCTGACCTTAGCAAGCCACAAATGTGCTCTTTGGCCTTTCCAGAAAGAGGTATAATCCTTCCAGACCTATTGGTGTCACTGAAACGCTATCCTAAAAGCTTTACTCTCTGGTTACCAGCATGTAAGTGGCCACAGAATATAGAACAAATAGAATCAGATCCAGTGTTAATACAGGAGCTTTTCCCTCCCCTCTCTTGGATTTTGTCACCCAAGGACATACCATTCTGCTCACACAAATAAAAGGAGGTGGCAATTCCAGGGAAGCAGCGACTTGGGCAGCCTGGAAAAGTCCCTGAGGAATAGGTTGCAGGAAGCACACACGTTCTTACCCTCCTTTTTGGCAAGGCAATAGTGCAAGTGTGGCAAAGCTATTGGGGCTGGCTCAGTTATGGGGTTTGCCTGCCCTCTTGATTTTAATTTCCCTGGTGATGGCTACAGAAGCAGTCAAGTCAGCTCCCATTTACTGCTGGCTAAACTGGTGCTGTTTGCATATTGTGAGTTGTAGCTTTTGTTTCTCTGTTAATGCTCTTCTGCCACCTCAAACAACAGACCTCATTGGGCCAGGAGTGCAGGAAAGACTGGGGCTAAGAGATGAAGCCCCCCTTGTCTGTGTCAGCAGTGCTGTTGCTGATTAGGCTTGTGGAGATACGTGTGTCTTTGCATTGCCTGAAGGTATTGCTGCACACCAGAAATAGAAACACCTATTATTAGGCTGTTGCAATTCAGGTTTAAATGGTTGTAATAAGGACTTTGAGTGCATTTTCCTGCAATTTTCCCTGCTGATATCCTCCTCGCCCTGAAATACTCTTCCTGGGCTGCTCTCCCTCGCCCTGGCTGTGTGTGCTGTGCCCTGCTCTGTGTGTGCTGCTCTCCTCAGGGGGCCCCCAAGCTGTGCTGTTGCTGGGAGTCAGCTTGAAGCCCCTGCCATGTAGATGAGCATCACTAAAATGCCTCCTCGCTTGTCCCCAGCTGCCTCACAGTCTCCTGTGCTCTTCATTTCAGATTGATAACAAGGGGAATCACCTGCTAGTCCACGAGGAATCATCCATTAATGTTCCTGCTATTGCTGCTGCCCATGTTATTAAGAGATATATTGCTCAAGCAGCAGATGAGCTGTCCTTTGAGGTAAATAACAGAACTTCTATTCCTCATTGTCATATATAGCAGAGTGTAACATGAGTGTCTGTGGTGTGTGTGCACATCAGGAATACATGCAGACGCTTCCAGAATGTTTTGTGAGGTGAAGCTTAGAAGATGCAGTTAAATACTCGATTTGCAATGGGTCAGATACAGGGAGGAGTTCAGTCATCTGTAAAATACAGCTTTACTTGGCATTAGTATCTCCTGATTACATGGATGCTGCCAAGCGCTCCAGCTTGGGCTCTGAGCAGCAGCTCCTACTGCACAGGGTATTAGAAGTACGTTGTCTCTGTCCCCATACATGTGTGAGGACACATGCCAAGGTCATTCCTGTGCTCCTATTGGCAAGGCCATGTCTAACCCCGTTTGTAGAAGCTTCTGCTCCCCTGGAAAGTGAAGAACCAGACTGTCAAAGGATTTGATGCTTGAACAATGTGATCCTCTAAAGCTGCTCTGAAGATCTTGCTTGATGCAGAGTAGGAGCTGCTGTTGGAGCAAAGATCTGGGAGATCAGACCCTGGAAGGCTTTGGGTGTCCACCTTTTGTCTGTTCTACCCAGAGAGCAGCATTTTATGCTCTCATCGTTCATGTGCAGTGGTACTATCAATGGAGCATTCGTGTGGTCACATTGTTGGCATGCAGCACAGGAAGGAGAGAGAATAGTGCTGGTCTGATGCTACCAGTGCAGTAACTCTTCTGCCTCACATTTGGATTTCACAAAGGAATATGCCTCAAGGTTGGCATTTCTGCAGTTGCTCACGAGTTGAACAGGTTCCTTGCAGTGTTGAAAAATGCAGTTATTTGAACTGTGCTGTGAACTGCAGGCTGTGATCGATGTTGCCATTGTTTTTCAGGTGGGAGACATCGTGTCTGTTATTGATATGCCACCAAAGGAGCTGACCACATGGTGGAGAGGCAAACACGGATTTCAGGTAGACACAAGCATCAGACGCGATAGTGCAACTTGATGAAAGGCAGGAAACTCAGCAGTGTGTTTATGGGACTGCTGTGCCTGCACAGGATGTGAGCAGTGCCCCTGTGTTGGTGTAAGAGGACTGCTTTCTCCGTGGACTTCCTGCCTGTTTGAGTTAGGGATAGCCGTGACCCTTTGGACAGTTGATGGTAGTGGAAGGTGATACTGCACCCCCTCCATGGCAGCTGACACTCAAATCATCCCTGTTATCACTGTTATCATCTCTGTAATCAATGTTATTCAAATCATCCCGTTCCTTCCACTCTCTAAAACTAGATCAGGCAGAACATGGAGGGTTCAGAGACAGCCAGTTGGTGAGACACTGCCTCTGACTTGGACAAGCCACCCAGCTACCCTGTGCTTTCATGTCTGCTTTTATGGTGTAGTCTTAGCATCACTGGTCTCTATAAGTGTTACAGCAGAGAGAATTAAACTCCACTTTCAAGAGATCCTAAATGTTCCTGGGAATTAGGTACCAAACCTTTTGTGTCGAAGTGGCACCGCTCTGCCCAAAGAGTTTTATTCCCAGCCTGGGTTTTCTCATCAGGACATTAAAAGAGAGAAATCTCTATTTACAAAACAAAACCTTCCACTGGAGCAGCTTGCTCCAAGCCCCTGGGTCCAACCTGGCCTTGAACACTGCCAGGGATGGGGCAGCCACAGCTTCTCTGGGCACCCTGTGCCAGCGCCTCAGCACCCTCCCAGGGAAGAGCTTCTGCCTCAGAGCTCATCTCAGTCTCCCCTGTGGCAGGTTAAAGCCATTCCCCTTGTCCTGTCCCTACATCCCTTGTCCCAAGCCCCTCTCCAGGTTTCCTGCAGCCCCTTCAGGCACTGGAGCTGCTCTAAGGTCTCCCCTTCAGGAGCCTTCTCTTCTCCAGGCTGCCCCAGCCCAGCTCTCTCAGCCTGGCTCCAGAGCAGAGCTGCTCCAGCCCTCGCAGCATCTCCATGGCCTCCATTCTTCAGTGCAAGCTGCCTGCTTGCCATCAGGCTGGCTGAAATCATGACTTGATACAACCAGGACCACTGGTGATTAAAGACACAAGAAGCAAGGGAGCTCTTGTGCAACCTCACTGCCTTCTGCCTCTCAGATCAGAGCAATCCTAGAGTGCTTTCCCAGCATAAAGATATGTTGATCAGCAAACCATATGAAGAGGGGTTTGTCTGTATCCGTGCACAGTCAGCCTACCGACACAACAGATCCAAGCAGCTGCAGAGGTAGAACTCCATATTCTGGCTTCACAGAGAACTAGGGGTGGAATAATCTCCTGAATTACATTATAAGCAAGTCTTTCACAATGTGAGTCCGATCATGGCCACTGAACCACACCACTGGGAACACAGCAGCTGTAGTACATGTGTCAGTAGCTCTGAGGCTGTGCTTGCATTGGGTGCTTTGGGAAGTTCCTGCCTGTGAGCTGAGGCAGGTAACAAACCATCTGGGTGCTTTCTGCTCCCCCTGACTGCCAAGTAAAGCTGCTTGGAGCAGAGGTGCTTTCCAGCAGCTGTATCTGGGCTGACAGGCAGTGATTTCATCAGCTATGCAAACTACATCATTACTACATCAACAGAGTTCTTCACACGCCGTGGCTCTGATTTGCAGAGAGGTGCATTTCTCCTAGGAGTTGATAGGTTTTGTCATTTCTTCGAACAGGACTTGGCAGAGCTTTTCATTTCCATGAAATCAGCTACCAAGAGATGCCAATTCCGGTGGGGTACAAAGAGGGAGAGGGGGTTTTAGTGTAAGTTTGAGGCCCGTAAGCTGTGAGTGTGCAGGAGAAGTACGCTTTCCTGATACAACAGGGGATTTTTGGCCATGCTAACTGCTGCAGGGAGAAGAGAATTCAGAGAAAGGAGATGATCTCTGGTGCTGGTACAGCAGACTTAGAGGTGTGTTACTGTTAGGTACCAAACTGGTCTTGATGAGTGTATAGGTGAAGAATGTTGTTATAGTTACGGGTTCTGATGAAGCTGTGCAGCCTTGGAAGCATTTGTTCTAGGCAAACAATTGTGTTCCCGTGTAGGAACAGGTGATAAGGTGATAGCAATGAGCTGATCCACTCATTGTAATGGATAACATAAATCAACCAGCACTGGCTTGCCCCGGAGAGTTGTCATTCTGAGGGCAGAGAAGAGGATGAGGCCCAAAGACCAGATGCATGGCCTGTTTATCCGTGTTGCTTCTCAGGTTTCTGCTCTGGGCTCAGAGAGGAGCAAGGTTTTATGCAATGGCCACAGCTTGCACTGTAAATCATACCTTGCTCGAGGTGAGCAAGGCTTTGCTCCATGGGGAAAACCATGACTTTGGGGCTGAAGGGAGCGTATTTGGTTGTGTGCATTTAAAGCAGCTGTGACTTGCTTACGTCTGGCCAGAAGTGTGTTCATTTCTGCACGTCCCCCTGGCTACTGCAGTGAATAAAGGCTTTCTCTGCTGTGGGCAGATGAACAAGAGGCAGCTCTACCGATACCATCAGAAAAGCAGATCCCATAGGTTACAAGTGTGTTCAATGTGAGCTGGAGCTTTGATTCCGCGTGGAAGTCAATTTATTCTGTGCCAGGCAGAGCTATCCTGCAGGGATGAATCACCATTCCTGTTATCCTCCAATTCCCTGTTAGAGCTGCAGGTCCTTTTCTCCCACTACCTGATCTAATGACTGCCTTGCAAGGCACTAAAGCCAATGCAGAGCAGAACAGCTCCCTGGGCTTCTTGTCATTTACTCTGCTTCAAGTAAAGTGATTTTGAAGACATTTCTCCTCAAGCCTTTCTCTTTTCAAATGCCCATAGTGAGTCACTGCTTCCCTTGTCAGATTGTTACCTAAATTGCAGCCACCTCCACACTAAGAGCCTTCCAGCCCTCTTTGTTCTCCTTTTTCTTTATGCTTTGTCTTTTCAATCACAGTTTCAGGCAGCTGAATCACGAGGGAGAGGCCCATTTTTTGATGCACAAGTGCCTTTGGATGTGCTGGATGATTCTGTCTTTTAGTTGCACTGCTGCTGGAGGTGACACAAAGCACTGTGGTAACCAGAAGTGGATTGGGCTCTTTGGTAACACATGGGCTTGAACTGGTTGTGGCCCTTGCTTTCACACCCGTGGTCCATGCTGAACCTCAACACGGGCTTTAAGACTGAATGGATTTCCCAAGAAGGGACATGTTCTGCCCTGGATTGGTCAGCAGTGAAGCAGTAGGTTGTGCTTTCCTCCTTTGGTTAAGGTGTGTGGTGATTTTTTAACCTTTAGATGACTTTGTATTGATCTAAATACGTTGCTGTTCATTTTCGGATGTTGCCAAATCTCTTAATCCAGTGTCTTTACTCCATCTGTTGAGATCAACTCCTGGCCTAAACTCCTTTATTCATACAAAACCAGGGAAAGCTTTGCAGGGGAGGAAAAGCAGCATCTTTTCGATGGGTGGGAGTGAGGCCCAAGTAACAGGTTGTGACCCTGAAGATGATCTCTTGGGATCACTTCATTTCATCGTTTCAATCGTTTCATTGACCGAAAACGATCTTGAAAGAAGAGTTGGAATAAATAAGTCAGAAGATGTAAGCCATGAGAACTGTCACCAGGGAATTAACATCGGATTGCTTGTCAACAGCAGCATGAGGGAAAATCCTCCTTCCCTAAAAAATCCAGTCGTTGGGAACATGGCAGAAATGACACCCTGAGAACAGCGCAGTGTTTTATTTGGGCATGGTTCTGAGATACGCAGAAGTAATGACATAAAAGGGTCTTCTTTCCTTCCTGAATTCATGTTTAGCATTTTATATTGCTAACAGGGAAAACATTAGGTTGCCAATCAAAGGCAAATGAGCTTTTGATTACAGGATGGGATTCGGAGCTGGATTTAGATCCACCGTTTTTCACAGTCTCCCAAATGTATCATTTGTGTGATGGGCTCAGACTCCCACTGGATATGTATATTTTTCCTAGCATAAATATTGCCTCCTTCATCTCTTGTGCAGGAGATGCCCAAGTAAGGTAGGTAAAAACCATAGACTAGAGAAGCTGTGGCTGCCCCATCCCTGGCAGTGTTCAAGGCCAGGTTGGACACAGGGGCTTGGAGCAAGCTGCTCTAGTGGAAGGGGTCCCTGCCCGTGGCAGGGGTTGGAACAGGATGAGCTTTAAAGTCCTTTCCAACCCAAACCAGTCTGGGATTCTATGATTCTATGAAATCATTTCTCCCACATATGGAGACTATTGAGTGGCATGTGAATTCCTGCTGGCACATCCTATTTCATCAGAGCATTAAGATCCTTGCCACACTCCAGTCTTTACACTGGTTTTGACAGTCGCCCTGGCATTTCTGAGTTAGGGATGCAGGGAAAACTGCAAATGAACATCTGGAAGGAGTGGGTATGGTTAAGAAGCTCCTGTGGTATGTTCATCAGCTGTTCCTCAGGTCAGTGCTCAGCAATGGATACGTGGCACTTTTCTCCCCTGTCCTTTGGTGACAGGGAAACTGAGGCACGAGGGTTGCACTGGCTTGTCCATGTTCAGATGCTCACCCGGAATTCTGGCTCTTGTTAGAGGTGGTTTTGCTACATCACACTTTAAAACCACGTACCTTTAGTCAAATCTCTGGGTTCTTACTTACAAAAGTAGAACTCAGTGTGTATTTTATTACATCTCTTCTCAGTTCCAAGACTGAATTGAATTCAATAGAACCAAAACCACATCTCTTAAACACAAGTGGGAAATGCTCCATATCCCTGGCAGCGTTCAAGGCTAGGTCAGAGAGGGCCTTGGGCGACATGGGCTGATGTGAGGCATCCCTGCCCATGGCAGGGGGTTGGAACTGGATGATCTTAAGGTCCTTTCCAACCCAAACTGATCTATGATTCTATGAAACACACTTATTTGGGATGCTTCAGTAGTATCACGAATCACCCCATTAGCTCATCAGACCAAGCACATGAGTCAGGCAAGGACATGGTAGAGAGCTGTGTGTGTTCAGTGTGTCGTCTCCTAACTTAATGCATGAGAATATGCCTTTTGTTCTGTAATGGACCTACACAGACAGGCAAATACATTGAACCATGCTGGATTTCAGTTTCCTAAGGGAATAAAATGCTCAAGTGCTTGTGAATATGGTATCTTAGCAGTGAAAACAGCGAGGTGTTGGTGTGATTTGAGCACACACGATTGAGCTGCTAAGAGCTCTCCCTTAAATTTCATGGGACATACGTGCAGTGCAGGAAACCCAGCAGAAGTCTTTCTGTCTGTCTTGAGCTCCACTTAGGGATGTGTAGCACATTTATCCTGTCCCCTCTCTGTTGCAATGGAGTATCTGTCCTATGAACTAGACCTAGAAAACAGACTCACAACAGTGGTTTAGAGCACTAAGTCTTTGGTTTGTAGGATTTTAGCTGCATCACTTCCCTCAGGCTGCTCATTTTATGGTGGGGCATGGTTCGGAGCATCAGAGATGAAGGCAAGTGTTTCATGGGTGCTGGTTTAACAGGTCAGGTATGAAACCCACCCTACTGAGTGTTGTGCCTCTCTTTGTGTTTCTCCCACAGGTTGGATTTTTCCCTAGCGAGTGTGTTGAGCTCATTAACGACAAAGTTCCTCAGTCCGTGACCAACTCTGTGCCAAAACCAGGTATGTGTGTTCAGGTTCATGAGGAGTGAACTGATCTTTTTGGTGTTCTGTGTTTCACATCGCCTTTGTACCTACACACCACGTTACAGTCCGTGTGTCGATCGTTCTTTGTGCGTACCGTGTTATCCTTTCTATGTGTCAATCATCCCCACGTTCCCTCTCTCTGAGTAGCTCCCACAGGGGAATGTCTTTCATCCGCAGTGTTTTGTAAGCTCCTTCTCCTGCATGGTTTGAAAGATTTTAAGCTTGTAAGGACATCAGTACACTCAGCAATCTGTAAGTAGCGATTCCATGCGGCATCCTGCTTCCTGGTACCCAGGAGGTGTTGTCTGTTAGGTTATTTTCATACAGCAGACAGGTGACCCAAAAATGCTTCTGCTGACATGGATGGAATGGATTAATTAGGTGCTGAAAGCTTCCTTCTGTTTGAGGATTGATGGAGAGGGTCGGATTTAACAGAACTTGGAAGCCTGATTGCTTCTGCTCCAGGGATATGACTCCATCTACTTCCTACTGCCTTCTGTACCAGGCAGATTACTACCCAGCAGTGCTGAGGAAAGGGAAAAGAAATAGAAAATGAGACCTTGGGTCTTTTCTGTTGTCACCCCAGTACACACTGGAAGTAATTGCAGGTAGATGTGCTGGCGTAATTGCCATCTCTGCAGAGCATGCTGGTGGTGGAGCTTTTGTTCTAAGTTAGAATAAGAAAATCTATATCATCATATAGATGAAGATAGATCTATATATCTTTGTATCAACAGAAGCAGTTTGAAATTGCTGATCTTTCTTCAGCTGTTACGCAGCTGGCAAGTTGGGCTGGAAGCTGGTTGACTGGGGTTCTTTGCATCTATTTGAATGATGTTCCTTATCTTCTCAGATTGCTGACTTGATATTTGGAAACAAATGGATGTGATTCCGAAGTTTGGTTTTTCCTAAGGGAAACGTGTTTTATCAGCTCTTGTGTTACAGCTCGGAACTTGTGGTTCAGTGCTAAAAAGCCATCAGTGCACTGCATGAATCTACATGCTTCAAAGAGCTGACAGCTTAGGGAAATCGTGTCCTCAGCCTTTGGTATTGCAAGCCTTTGTTATTGCTGGGAACATGCAAATGGATTTGTTGGAATCAGTGTCATGGAGAATTCAAAGCACTCCAAAGCGCTGCAGCAGGTGGTCATTCCATAAATCCAGTTATCTGCCTTTTGTTGTTTGAAGTTGATCTCTCAGGACTGCGATCAGCCAGTTCTCTGTGCTCGCTCCGCTAAAGCACGGGGACGAGGGCAGCTTCAGATCTAAATACAGGCCAGGCTGATCAATAGAACCACAAGCAAAGTGTTTGTTATAAAGTATGGCTCAGGCAGTGAAGTGTCATGAGCTCCTAGTGAGTAGTTTCTTGCTCTGCTTTAATGAGAGATAATGAAGCAGCACGGGTTAACAGATCCTGTTTGGCTTCAGCAACACACGTGGTGGTGGATTTCCTCTTTCAGCCCTGGGGAAATGGCTGTTACGAGTTGATACCAAAAGCCCAGCTCCTATTAAAAGGAATAAGTTGAAAGATATCACCAAGTCATGAGGCTGTCCCTGCTGACCTCCCCTGGTAGTTATTGTGGGCATGCAAGTCAAGGCAAAAGTCCACTCTAGAGGACCACAAATGAGCTTTCAGATGTAAGGATTGCTGGAAGGAACGTCGCCACTGGTTCTGCAGGCCTGCTCTGCTCTTCCTTTGCACACAGAGTTGATGATACCATTCCTTTGTAGCATTATGCTTCCCACCTTGGGAAGTAACAGTGCTTCTAGGGTGGAGGCAGAAGTCTTAGAAGAGTCTTCCTTGGGTGCTACGGAGTTTGGCATGGGTCAGATAGAAACTGCTGGAGCATCTGGAGCAGCTTAAATAGCACTGCTGGGAAGTGGGATCTTTCCAGAGCTCGCTAGGAATTGCATTGCTGGGATAGCACGGAAGAGCTTGTGTTTTTCTCACCCATATTCCATGATTTAGTATATTCTAGTCGATGGCTTAAACATATAAGGTAGTTCTCACACACTTAAATGTCCACATCTCTGTTTTTTCTCTCTTTAACTATATTTGAAACAGCAGATTGGCTTTTCCCAAGGAATAAGAGACTTCTCTAAAAGGAACCACTTGGAAGTTTTGTCCTTACTCGTCGTTAGCAGAGTATTTCATCTAGAATTAATGTGATTGGGGCTTGATAAGAGGTACTTACGACACGCAAGCTGTATTTTCTTCCATCCAGATGTGCAGGACATTTTGTATCTGCAGCAGAAAGCTCTTTGCCATGAAGGAATTTACAAACATAGAACTCCTTGTGCTGTTTAGTTGTCCATAGGCTTGGCTGGGTTGAGGAATCTAATGAAAAGCAGATGGAAAGCAAAGAACTTCCTGCCCTGTGTTTTTATTATGATTTATAATGAGAGGGTTTGATTTGCAGAAGCGATGGGGACGGCATTTTAATAGAACCGTAAACTACTGCAGTGGTCTGTAACAGGACAAATAATGACTGAAGTGCAAATGGAAATGAAACGCAGGGAATGGGAGGGGAAGGCTGGGTTGGAGTGCCAACTCTGCTTCTTAGAAGCAGTATTTTCTTTGCCTGTGGACTCTAATGATAGCCTAAATTATGATCTTGAATTGGTAGCTGATAGTTCAGAGCTAATCCCATTTACTGTGAATTCCAGGACTAGAATAGATGGAAGCAGCTCGTGTTTCTAATGGGTTTTGAAGAGATCCAGGATAAAGGTTGCATTTGAATTTCAGATTTCGGTGAGAAGTGGATCTCTTCAATATTCCTTAGTAATAGAAGAAGCTCCTGTTTTTTTCCTTCTCAGTCTGTAGCATGTGGCTGTGTTCACTCTGCTCATTCCCTTCTGTCCGTCTCTGGTTGGTCTTTTCCGGGAACGATGTGTCCGTGTGTGTGCTCATCTTGTCCCCACTCATCATCTTGGCATAGCCCGCAGTCCCAGGCAGCATGTCTCAGCTACGTCTCGGTCCGTTCGTCCTCATAATCCTGGGTATCCATAGCTTCTCAGTCTTGCTTAGGACAAAAGAATGAATAACCCCAGCAGCTCTGGCCAAATTCCTGTCTCATCCATTCGTTATGTTTGGATTGAACAGGTAAATGTGCTCTTATGATAAGCAACTAAGGACATATTAAAGGGTACTTGTTAGTATTCCAAGTTAATCCATGTCAACACACACATTGACCTTCAGGATTGAAACCTGGGTCTGGACCAGGCAGCAGACTCTGTTCGGACTTCCTGAAGGCTCTGGTGCAGAGAATGCAAACTGAGCTACAGTATTAGTGCTTGTACAGTATTAGAGCTTGTACAGTATTAGAGCTAGTGTATTAGTGCTATTGCAACCATGACAGACCCTTACAAGGTCATGCCTGGGTTGAAACAGGCCAGTTGCTAATCCCTGGGCATAAAAGGTTGTAGGTTTTCTTTTACATAAGAATAAAAGGCATGAAGAATAAAGTACAGATACAAGGTAGGTTCTCCAATGGCCTGGGTTGAACAGTCATTGACACTGATGAGTGCATAATGTTTTAATCAGTGGTTTTATAAAGAGATATATGTAATTAGTACCGTTCTCCTTAATCTTATAGCAATGAACTAGTCCTTTGGTGTTCAACATGCAACTGTCTCATTAAAGCTAAATGAACTGAGGTTCTTACTGAGCCAAGTCAGGTCTCCATTTCCAGTGTGAGAGTAGACAGGGAATAAAGATGCTCAAGGTCCCTAAATACAGCTCTCGCTGTGGAAGACAGGACATGTGCTTTCAGTATTGACAGAGCTCAGGACCAATCCTTCAGGTTATCTCCTGGGCTTTGTGTGTTCTCTCTTCCATTAAAACCAAAGCTCACCCTTGGGGCTGAGGCAGAGCTAAGTCTCTGCCTCCTCTGCAAGTAGTGACTGTCAGGAAGAACACCCTTAGTCAATAGGTCTGTGCCATTAGTCTCTTTTTGCATGGAATGCACAGCAAGATAAAGCATATTAGAGGTAACACAGATATTAAAATAGAGGAAAGCTGAATGTGTAAGGCACCAAAATACACATTTACAAATCCGGGTGTTGTCTTCTCGTGGAAGTGCTTGGCATTGTCCATTTGGACAAAGAAGTGTCACATCTTCCAGCCCTGTTCCTGACCCCACAAGGTACTTAAACACGGGTTTAACCATGAACACATGCTAAGCACAGGGTGGAAGTAACACAGAGGAATCCCCTGCTCCCCTCCCTTGCTCAGCAGGGATGGGCCTTGTGCTAAAGGTTCTGCCATGCAACATCTCTGGGGGGACTTTTTGAGCTGGGACACACTAGCTGGGGGAGTTGTTGGATCCTATGGGATTTCCAAGGCGTTTAGGGAATAAAGCACCAACCACCGTGGAGGACTGGGGCTGAGCGTTGTGTGAAATGAGCCCATTTCAACGGGTGCGTGTTTTAACCAACTCTTTTGTTTCTTTCTCTCTTTTTTTCGCTTACTCCTTCCCAGTCTCCCCTGCCCACGGAGCCCGTCCAGCGTCCTGGAGCTACTTCCCCCCTTGTACGTTGTCATTGATTTCCTTTTTCCTTCTTTTCACTCTTTCTCTCCCTTTCTCTCTCTTTTGTAGCCCTTCAAGACTACTGTTTTCCTCTGTACTTGCAGGTCCAGGTGCTCTGAAGGGTATTTAGGGAAACCAAACCAAACCTTTAGTCTTGTATGCCTTTTTGAAAGCTCTTTGCACATAGAGCAGGGAAACAAAGATATTTTAACTCCTTTCTGGAGGAGATGATAAAACCATTTGGAATGAAGAAAACCAGGAGTGAAGGAAATTAAGTGCCAGGCAGCCAAATGTCAGTTTGAAAGAAAGAGGGGATAAAAATGGGTGATGGAGAGGAATTCACTGTTGTAAACGGCCTGCGAGGGTGGCGAGGCACTGGAATGGGTTGCCCAAAGGAGTGGTAGATGCTTCATCCCTGGCAGTGTTCAAGGCCAGGATGGACAGAGCCATGGGTGACACGGTCTAGTGTGATGTGTCCCTGCCCACAGCAGGGGGTTGGAACTGGATGATCGATCTGCAGGTCCTTTCCAACCCAAATCATTCTCTGATTCTAAAGTTTGTTAGAACTTGAAAATCTTAGAAGCAAAGATTCCCCTTTAGTTTTTCTTAAGCTCAGAAGATGCTACTTGAGCTTAGCATCTCCCAGTGCCCAAAGTGAAGCGGTTACGTGGCTTATTGATGCAGAGAATCCTGCTTCATGTTGCCCTGGTCTTGTTTAGGTCCTGCTAGTGCTCATCTAACCTCATAGCAATGATCAGGTGTGAGTAAAAGCAGTGACTGTTTCCATAGCTGTACCTTGGTTTTTGACACTAAAGGTCTCATTTACACTTATCGGTTCCCCCTGGGATGTTGTGGGGATTTCATACATCAGCCTTAAAACTGGATATGCAAATACTGGAGAGAGAGATAGATCTAAAACCCAAATTATATAACATACATATATATACACACACACACACACACATGTATATATATGTGCTTTCCCCATGCACATGCGCACGTCCAGCCTGTTGGCATAGAGACAGTGTGCTGGTAGCCTTCTGACATGGGAAACAGGAACATGGTTCCTATTCCTGATGCTTCACTCCTGGAAAAGAATGTTATTTGATGGCAAACACCTTGTTTTGGAGCACCTTCCTCTGCATGTGCCAGCGTTATCAAATGCTCTTCAGACTGAAAGGTAAAGACTTCAGAGAGGAAGGGGGAAATGGGGTCTGTATTGCAGATGTAGCTTCCAATACCTACAGGGGATGACAAGAAAGCTGGAGAGGGGCTTTGGACAAGGGCCCATAGGGCCAGGCCAAGGGGAATGGCTTTAACCTGCCAGAGGGGAGACTGAGATGAGCTCTTAGGCAGAAGCTCTTCCCTGTGAGGGTGCTGAGGCGCTGGCACAGGGTGCCCAGAGAAGCTGTGGCTGCCCCATCCCTGGCAGTGTTCAAGGCCAGGTTGGACACAGGGGCTTGGAGCAAGCTGCTCTAGTGGAAGGGGTCCCTGCCTGTGGCAGGGGTTGGAAGTGGATGAGCTTTAAGGTCCTTTCCAACCCAAACCAGGCTGGTATTCTGTGATACAGGAAGAGAGGACAGATATTTCTTGGGGTTTTCCCTCCTTTGTAGTCATGCTCCTTGAACCCATCAGTGATGCAATTCCTGTTAAGGATCAGTAGCAGTTATCTTCATATAATAAAGGCAGGGTTGGGCTTTTGCCCTTTTTAACATGAAAACAAAGAACAGCCCCATTCCTGGTTATTTATAGCAGCTTGACAGCTTAGCATTCAGTCACCCTCCTCCTTAAGCCAGTCGAGAAGGGAGACTTCAACCCCGGAGCAGCTGTAGCATTCCTGCTCAAAGCTATAAGGCTTATTAGTGCTTCTGCTTGCTTTTCATGTCACATTAATTTGTTTGGGCAGCCGTGTCCCTTTGTGAGTCACGGAATTGCACCAGGGACCAGAAGCTTGAGTGGGGCTGTGCCCAGAGCCCTGCTGCAGGGGCCGTGTGCCGCATCCCGGCCATGCCCCAGCCCTTCTCTGTGGTCTGTGCTCGTGGTTCCTGTTTATAACGTTCAGTCCACCAAAGGTCATGGTTGCAGCAGCGATTTAGGGAGGTATTTTATGTGTTTGTTTAGTGTGGGAGGTCCAGGGTCCTGCTCAGAGTTCACCTGTGTTAGGGGGAAGTTACTTGCAGGGAGAAAGCTGGAGAGGGGCTTGGGACAAGGGCCTGTAGGGCCAGGCCAAGGGGAATGGCTTTAACCTGCCCAAGGGGAGACTGAGATGAGCTCTTAGGCAGAAGCTCTGCCCTGTGAGGGTGCTGAGGCGCTGGCACAGGGTGCCCAGAGAAGCTGTGGCTGCCCCATCCCTGGCAATGTTCAAGGCCAGGTTGGACACAAGGGCTTGGAGCAAGCTGCTCCAGTGGAAGGGGTCTCTGCCCATGGAACTGGATGAGCTTTAAGGTCCCTTCCAAGCCAAACCAGACTGGGGTTCTGTGGTTTCTCTAGCACTGTCTCTCTAACTGCTGTCTCTGCAAATTGAATTGTTACGCTCCTGTTCCAGGGGATACTTTAACTTTGTCCTTTCTCTTGCCTTCTGTCTGTCCCTTGTCCCTCTTCCCACCTGACCCTTACTTACGTGCAGATTTGGAGATGGATAGTGTAAAGCCAGGCTCTGCGTATGTTACAGAGGCTCTGAACCACTCCCAGCCGAGCTCAGGTAGAGCCCATTGGTGTCCTAACCAAGTCTAACGCTGTGTGTGATAGCAATAACCATTTACTAACACCCTAGGTTTGGTTACAGAAGCTAGATGTAGTTGAAATAGTTTATTATTCATTTTATTCCTGTTCCTGTCTGTTGGCTGGAAGAGCCAAGGGCTGGTTCTCAGAATCCACCTTCTCACAGGCAGCTTTTCCACAAGGGATTTCGTTCAAGTCAATGAATCCAAACCTTAAAGAGTATGCTTCACAGAAGCGGGCTTGTATTGCGAGTGCTCAGCAGCATCAGGACTGTGTGACTCTTGGTCTGTGTATCCTAAATTACCTTCTTCCCCCCTGCAACTGCTGGATTTCTAAATACAGAGTGTTCTTCTCTTCCCAGGCTTTCAATGTGTGTCTCAGAAAGATGTCTGCAAAGAGCATGCCAAGCCCCATTTGACCACGTTCTGTAGGAAAGAGCTTGCTTGAATAAGAGAGAAATGTGGTGAACTCCTATAGTTCGATGGCAATGTAACAACCTTCATAGCAGAAAACAACTGTGTTGTTGTGTTGGCTTTGTCATGACGACGTCGTTAGAGCTTTCCAGAGCTAGCATGAGGGAAAATCAAAGTGCTCCAGTGGAGCTGAGCAATGAGGTATGTCTCAGGTATGTCTTAAGTACATGCCATGTACTTAACCAATTTGAGCTTCAGTTGTTGAGGGCTATTTGACAACAGATTGTTTGGTTAAATCCGATTTGGACTTCAGTTTTGCTGGATCAAAGTGCTCTGGAAAAAGATGTAAGTGGAATTTTAAGAGAGGCTGAGCAGCAAACTGTGGCGGTTTTGTTTTGCAGAAGTCTGGATCAGGGCTTTACAGTAAAGCAAAGTGTTTCTTGCGTAGTGTTCAGGCAATGCGTTGTCCTCTCGTGTCCCACTGCTTCATCCAGTCCTTTGGTGGCAGTGCATTTGCAGGGTAGCTACCTGTCACAGAGATCACCCCAGTCTGTTCTGTGGGTAAAATGGATTGCTTCGTGGCTGGCTGGTACTGAAGTGATGCCAAGAAAGGCAGCCAGCCAGCCAGCACTCCCTTGGGTCCTGCTGTCCACGATGCTGGGTTTACGTTTCATCGCATCTTGGATACATTAGGAATGCCAGCCTTCATCTTCCATAATTACGTTGCATTGCTTCTTGCTTTCGGTGCAAGAAATGCTGAGAAAGTGCTTATTTAACCTGAATTGCTCCAGTAATTACCTGGTTGTAGAAGGGGATTTATTGCAGTGACTGAACACAACTCTAACATGTTCCATTGCAGTGGTTTTAGTCTTTTGGGGCCCTCAAATTCATGCACAGAATTGTACCAGTCGGAACAGCAGCAGCGTTTTCCTCTTGGTTCTTCATTTCCTTGAAGTCTTCCTTTCTCTTTGCTCTCCCTCCTTTCTTTAAAGTGATTCTTCCCCCTGCTTTTTTCCCTCCTTCCCATTTTTTGGCTGAGCTAGAAAGGGACAAGGACCGTGGGCTGATCTGTGGAAATGCTGCTATATACAGGATGCATCTGGTCCTCTCTGCAAGTCACACCATCAGATCTGTGATTCTGCTGGAGAAGTATGAGTTCCCTCGAGCCTGTGTGCTGGGAACACATAAGTGATTGAAACTCTAAATGACAGATACTGTGTTCACCAGGCACGGAGGCATGGGTAGGTATGATGAGCATCCCAACTGCAGCAGTGTATGTGCTGCCCTGGATCCTACAAAATCAGGGTGCCCAGAGAAGCTCTGGCTGCCCCATCCCTTGCAGTGTTCAAGGCCAGGTTGGACAGAGGGGCTTGGAGCAACCTCTGACTATAAGAACATGTTTTTCTGTGCAGCTTGCTTTTGGATTCAGCCTTCAGCAGCATATCTGAAATACTCTTCCTGACCACCTAAATAAAGCCAATAAATCTTGGTATAAGTGAGGGACAAGCAGGAATTTGAAGTATTTCAGAGCAGTTCCTAAGGATACACAGCATTAGGAAGTCAATGTATTTTTTGTCTCCTTCTTAATCCTTTAATCCTTTACCAATGCAGATGTTTTCTGCACTGACAGCAGGAGGGAGAACCAAGCCTTCATTTTGGCAGGGCTTTTAAGCACCATGGTTGTGGTTCTTACCCACAGACTCTGGCGTTGTCGGTGGTGTTTGCAGCCAACGCAGCATTGGCAGTGTGAACGGATGAGGTATTTTTGGAACACTTCCTAGGTGCTATGGAAACACGTCTGGATGGTTATCAGGTGTTTGAGAGTAAATTGGTTGATGTTTTCTTCAAGAAGCTTGGATGGGAAAGTCTGGAGTTTCCTGGATTTGGGGATTGCTGATGGGTCCAGGGTCAGAGGAAGAGGAAGCTTGGCAGGGCAGGAGATCCATAGTTTGGGGAAGACCGGGAGAGAGTCTGGACTAAACCTAAAGGGCATCTGCAGTGATGAAGAGGAGTTTCCTCATTTCAGGAAGTGCTCAGGTGTGCAAAGTAGTTATTGCACATGAGCATTGCCTTGCACAAGCGCAAACTGAACAAGGCGATTGTGGGCTGCTTTGTACAGGACCAAGTGGTGAACACCCAGGCCAGGTTTGCACTCGCACAGCTGTGGTTATGGAAAAGGTCACACCAGAGCTGGTACAGCCAAAAATACCCCCCCTAAGGACCCAGTTGCGGTGTAGGCACAGCCAGAAGAGTCCCTTTGCTAGCTTAGGTTGTGGCAGAGCTCTGCCGGTTGGGAAGCATCTCCATCAGCACATCCTGCATCTCCACTGGGAGGCACTGCTGGTGTAACCACAGCATCAGAAACCACTTGGAGGGCTCCTCAAGTGCAGGGAAGCACAACTGGAAGGACAAGACAGATTGCTTTCTGCATTCCCTGTAGATTTCTTCCTCGTGCAGGGTCACTCTCCCCACTGAGGCTTTCTGAAGAAGCTGAACCCATGGGCTTCAGGCTTCACGTGTTTTTACAGGTAATTGCATGGCAAATCTTGGCCATGCTTCCTGGAGGAATTATACTTGGAAAAGAAAGCGTGGTGTACGGCTCTGTATGCATGAGTTCAGAAACAATTACATAGCTCCCTGAATTGTGGAGGTAAGAAAGAGCTATAGTCATCTTCCCCTTATGGAATCCTTCATGCCTCACCTCTCTGCAGAGTTTTGGGGGAGAGTCCACCAGCATAGGATGTCTGGTTGGGAAGCAAAGTGGTAAAGCGTGGCTGAGCACAGGGGTGTTCGAGGCACTGATGTGCTATGAAGGCCAGCTTTGCTTTTCACATGTTCTGCGCTGCTTTCTCACTCTGCCTGCTCTTCACTTATTCAGGTTGGAGGGGTTGGTATTTTTAAACTAGATGGGTTTTTTCCCTTTCACACAAGCTCTGTCGAAATAGGACCTAACTCTAATAATAGTTGGCTTGAGCACAGCTCCATGGTTATGCTAAGAGCTTGGAAATCATGGGGAAAGGTGGTTTGTTTTCCCTCTGCTTTCGTCCTGAATAATCCTGCAAATCAGTGTGGGAGCCAGGCTGTGGCTTAAAAGCATTCTCATGGAATCCCAAACTGGGTTGGGTTGGAAGGGACCTTAAAGCTCATCCAGCTCCAGCCCCTGCCATGGGCAGGGACACCTTCCACTAGAGCAGCTTGCTCCAAGCCCGTGTCCAACCTGGCCTTGAGCACTGCCAGGGATGGGGCAGCCACAGCTTGAAAGCCATTTCCTCTAGGCCTGGCCCTACCTGCCCTTGTGAAAAGCCCACACTGGCAAACCCCTGTGTTTGGCTTTCTCCGAGGGTCTTGGATTGGGCACAGCTACGGTGTCTACTGGGGCCATGTAGAAATGGATCTCCTCCAGCAGCAAGGCAAGAGCATCCCTGCCCCTCTCTGCCTCTCCATCCTTCTCTGTCCTCCCTCCTTTTCTTCCCCTCTCCCTGGTAGTGGATTCGATACCTGCAAAGGGCATTCCTGTGGATTCTAGGACTCGCTTTGCTAGCCCGTGAGTCAGCCTGGCTCTGTGATTAATGCACCAGGCTTTGGTGATCTGAAGTTTCATCTGCCGGATTTCATTCAGGAGCTGGTCTCAGTGCCGTGCTCACTCTTCTTCAGCGTTTAATCCTGTGACTGCAGTGGGAAGCTTGCTGCTAATTCTTTGTCTTGTTCTCATGGGAACTGCTTTTGCTTAAGGGAAGGCAAGTAAAAGGCCTCTATTACCTGCTTGGCTGTGCATCACCTCAGTCCTGACTCTGGTTTTGCCTTTGCAAATGCACTGTTTGGCACTTGTAGACCTGGACAGCCATGGCAAACCATGGCTACGTCCACCGTAAGAACAAGTCACCACCCGACTGTCCAGGTACCCTGTGACAAGGTGATTCCTTTCTGTCCAGCCTGGCTTCTGTGAGCTCTGTGGATCGAATCAAATCACTTTGATGGTGTCCCAGGACGGTCTATTGCATGGTGTGCTGTTCTGTTGGGGTTTCTTCAATCTCTGAGCCTGCTTTCATCTATAATCCTGGTTTCTTCCCCAAACCCCTTTATTTAAAGGGAGGGGGGTGTTTATTTGGGAGGGGTCTTTGTGTGTGTTTTGAGAGCATTTGAGTGCAGGATGCCAGGTTGGACAGAGCCATGGGTGACATGGTCCAGTGTGAGGCCTCCCTGCCCATGGCAGGGGCTTGGAAGTGGATGATCTTAAGGTCCTTTCCAACCCAAACCCGTCTGGGATTCGATGACAGATCGAGCTGAGTAAGGCTCAGCACTGAAAAATACCGGCTGCCTCACTTCTAATAATGGGTTGAAGCTTCCTGCAGCGGTTGAATTTGCAAAACCAGGCTATATTAATAACAGGTTTGGGCTCTCTGCCTTCCCAGTACTGAACTAAGTGCTGCAGGATAGCTTCAAACTCCCCAGGCAGAGTGGGATGTACACACGCTCCTCAGTGGGATGCAGTGCTGCGCCAAAGGCAGAGCTGCCATTTCCAGGTGTGGAAGGGCCCCATCTCTGGTTGCTCAGGTTTCATTCCCTA